TTGTAGAAGCTGAGGCGCCGCCGGTCCGGCCGGGGCTGCCCGGCGGAGTTGGAGCAGTTGGGCGCCCTGCAGTATTTAGTCATCGTCCTCGTCCCGCGATCGCCGGCGCCCGTGTGGCGTAGCAGACCCGCTTCCGCTCTTCCCGACAGGCGTTTGTGGACGTCGTGAGGTCATCGCCACACGCCCCCTTCGCGGCCCCGCTTGGGTCCTTCCTCTGGGCGGGCGCCCCCTCCTGCGCAGGCGCAGAGAGGCCCGGACGCTAGAGATACGAAAAAGGAAAGAGCAGTCTCCGCACCTTGAGGAGCAAAGAGAGCGGATGACGCCACCCCAAGGGAAGCAGGAGGCGGTGCATCCAGAGTAGGGGAAGGAGCCTTCGGAGCCAGGCCCTCCCTCCTCCCCTGAAAGGCGGGGAAGGGGAGACGGCGGCCTTTTGTCATTGGCTGACTACGGGAGGGACGCAGCGGTGAGCGGGCGCGAGGCCGCCGGGAGGGTGGGCCTCGCTCTCACTGGCCACGCCGGGCGGTGATTGACGTGGCAGGACCCCAATGGCAAGGCAGGGGCCGCTTTCCGCGCGCAGTTCAGGACGGTTGCCGGGCTCCAACCGGCGCGCTGCTTCGGGAAGCCGCTTCGGGAGATGGCGGGCGGCGGCGGCGGCGGCGGCTCCGGTCGCTCCTTCCCTCCCTCCCTCCCAGAAGGGAAGGCCCTGGGAGCCACGCCACTCGGCCGCCGGGCTCCTCCACGGCTCCCCTGCTCTTCTCCTTCTTTTGGGGCAGGTTGTCCTCGAGAAAGTGCTCGGAGTCACGACGCAGAGCAGCAGCGGCCTCGCTTCTGACCCGAAGACCGGGCGGATCGCCTACCCTGCCGGGTAAAAAAAGAAAGGCTCCGCTCTTGGGAACGGGAGGCCTCCTCGGGAGGAGCTGACGGGCCGGGGCCGGGGAGCGGGACTGGAAAACAAAACGGAGTCACCAAAGGCCCAGCGGGGGGGGGGGGGGGGGGAAACACCCACCACCGCCACAACCGATAAACAGTGTCTTACCATACAAAAAGGAAGGTGGTGGGTGGGGATCTTCTTAAACATGGCAGTTAAGACTTTTAAGTTTATATTTTTTTTAAGTAAGGTTAAAGCACCGTGAGGAGCACAGGGATACTTCAGGCCGGCTGCCATGGCTCCCTGTGTGGCCTCAAAGGAAAGTCCCCCCTCCCACACAAGTTGTCTTGTTTGAACAAATGGTAATTAGAACTAACCGTAGTTTGCCCTTATTTAGTCAGAATGTACAGTACAACGAACAGCCTTAAACTGGAACTGTTGTGACAGGAGTTGGGGGGCAAGCACATGTAGTCAAGGTTTATCCAAGCTTATTCCACTGTGGTTTAATGATGCATCTGAACACAGCAGTCATAGGAAATACATGGCAAGAATACTCAACAGCTTCCATATTTCAGTATTTGCTTACGTAGGAACTATTTTTCTAGAGTGCAATAGTTAGCCCTCAACTCTCCACAATCTCATTTCAATAAATGTTTCTATCTTTATTTCCAGATGTGTGGTTGTGATTTTCAATCCTCGGACTAATATACAAAGACATATCTTTAATACTTCTAGGTAAATGTTTTTATTAGGTTCCGCGTAGTTTACGATAGCATGAACGTTGCATTCTGTAAAGTTGAAATTTGTAAGGATTTTTATCCAAGTATAATAGCAGGTAATGGGTACTGAATTGCCCAATACCAGAACATTGTGGCGTTCAGCCATTCAACCTATTGATTTAAAGTAATGAAATGGTTTGTTAGAGGCAAGAAACTGGTTAATTATCAGCACACATACATGGAGATGATTTTCCAGTACTACAGGCATGTTTGAAGTTTAATTATGTCAAAAGCTTTCACAGACTAAGGCTTCATTTGTCAGAGGGAAATTATGTCGTTTTAGGGGTCAGAAGACGTTGGCTGTGGCCTTTGCCAGGATTTTCTAACAATAAGCCTCTTAGAAGAGGTAGCCGTGTGAGTCTATGCTGACCTTTGTTTTCCTGCAAAAACAAAGGAAAAATAAAACATAAAGAAGACGAAAACGTTGTGGCACCTTAAAGAGTAGCTGATGTATCTTAATGTAAACGTGTGTGGACAAATCCACTTCCTCTGAAGTAAAAATGGGACTACATAGCAAATATTTGTACCTTTACACATGGCCCCAAATCAGAGATTGTCATAGGCCTCTTAGTGGTTAAGGCACCATTGGTGTTGTTTAGTTCAACAGATTTACACAATTATGCCTTTAGGTTTAATTTTTATTAAAATCAAGAACAGAAATGCTTTCTTTTCTTTTAGGAAAACTGTGAGTGGTCTGGCTTTCTCCTCTGATGGGAAGTACATTGTAACTGGTGAGGTGAGTTCTTCAAAATTTGGGTTGATCAAGTGAACAGTAGAAAGAATATTAACAGCTTGTTTGCCTCTGGGTGTAAGAAGCCAATAAATCATCCCAAATCCATGTTTGTTATCTATAGTTTGTGGCACTGTCTAGAACAAGAGGGTCTGCCTTGCCACTGTCACATTGGACCTCCCAGCCAGGAATGATTACTGCAAAAGCTGGTATTGGAAGTGGATGTCCGGAGAATTAGTTGAGCTTTATGGTGTTTTCTTTGTACTTCCCTCACATTTGAAAGGGATTTCCTCTTCTCTGAGCCTACTGTAAAAAATCTGCATGACAATTAGCAAGGGCCATATGCAAAACATTTGAGATGTGTGTCATGGCTAATTTTGTTTTTTGTTTTTTAATAAAGGGCATTCCTAGATCTTAAAGAGAGCTGGAAGTTCCTTCTCGTCATAAAATAACCTACCAGCTAGTTATAGGTAGCAAATAGTGCAGTGATTGTTTTTCAGAGCAGTCCCTGAGCTAGCCCTGAGCACAAGTTAATCCCTGTACCAAGCACTGTTTTTGGTTTTTCTCCGGCAGAACGGGCACCAGCCAGCAGTCCGTGTCTGGGATGTCGAAGAGAAGGTTCAGGTTTCGGAGCTCCATGGCCATAAACATGGTGTAGCCTGTGTGGCCTTCTCTCCCAATATGAAGTACCTTGTATCAGTGGGATATCCACATGACATGGTAGTTAACGTGTGGGACTGGAAGGTAAGAAACTGTGCTATGGGGTCCATGGGGTGATAATCACCTCTGCACCACCCAAGGGCAAGAGCATTGTGTAAACAAATACACTACCCTTCTAGTACAAGATGCACAAAACCTGGAAGGTACACATTTTGCCACAGGAGAACAGATAATAAGAACTGAAGACGTTGTCTGGGCTTGAATGTATGCCCTTCCAGTAGAGTCTGGGAGAGTTACCTTTCAAACTACTAAGGGTGTTGTTTAGTCTATTGCCCCAGAACAACAAAGAGTCTTGTGCAAGAGCAGGGGATACCTTTATTAGACCACTAAAAGTCAACCCAACAGCAAGCTGTAGAGAATAACATACACTTCTTCAGGCTTATGGGTAATGCAGAAAAAAAACTAAATAAAAATCTCGACTGTTCCTGACATATCTCTACTAGGTCTGGTTGAAGTGAATTCAAAGGAGGAATGCAAACTGCCCCTTCGGCGGGGGGGGGGGGGAAACGGGACGACATGGTCTTGTTTTAGGCTTATGGGTAATGCAGAAAAAAACTATAAATAAAAATCTCGACTGTTCCCTGACATATCTCTGCTAGGTCTGGTTGAAGTGAATTCAAAGGAGGAATGCAAACTGCCCCTTCGGCGGGGGGGGGGGTGAAACGGGACGACATGGTCTTGTAGCACCTTAAAGACTAAGCGCTTTCATTTGGCACAAGCTTCCCTGGCACAAGCTGCAGTCCATGCATGCCAGATGGTAATTCTGAGATGGCAGAAGACTTATTGTTTAGGGTGTGCAGCTCTAGAATCCCTCAGCCAACACAACCCATAAGCCACTCTGATGGAGGAATTCTGGGAGCAGGAATTACAAAAAAGGAACACGAGGAACATGGTAGAGGACACGTGGTTCTTTAATTACGCCTCCTGTAGCTTTGACAGAATTGTGTGGTGGGTCTTTTTTGGCAGAAGGACTCGCTGATGGCCTCTAACAAAGTGTCCTGCAAGGTGATCGCCCTGGCCTTTTCCGAGGACAGCTACTTTGTTACTGTCGGCCACCGCCATGTGAAGTTCTGGTTCTTGGATGTATCCCGAGAAGTTAAGGTAAGTCTCTTTGTGTCCGATTGCTGAAAACAAAATCATTGAACTTCTCAGCATTTCTTGTTTCTGTTAAATTACCTGGCTGCAGGGTCATTCTTAAACCTTCTGTTATTTATTCATTTTTCTTTTGTCTGCCAGAAGACTTTTTGAGCTCAGAGTGGGGGAAATATTAAAAAAATTCTGAGAGTTAACAAATTCTTCCCATTAAATATACAAACAATTATGTATACACAAATATAGTTATACGCTGTGTGCTATATTGTAATGGCAATATGAAGACAGAAATCTAACGGACTCTTCTTATATACTCTTCTGATATTTGAAGAAGTAAATACAACTGCTTTCTTAGTAGTTTTCTGTTGAAAGAAGTGGAATGTAAGTCTGTTGCCTGGGGCTACAGAGCACTTTCTTTGCACATTCTGGTCTTGGGGAGCAATCTGTCATTAGACTGCAATATCTTTTTAATTTGCAACTGCCTTAATTCTGGGGCGTGAACGAGTATTTGTTACAGATTAAAGAGACAGTTCCACTGGTTGGGCGCTCTGGACTCCTTGGGGAGCTTCACAACAATATCTTCTGTGGTGTGGCCTGTGGGCAGGGCAAAATGGCAGGCAGCACCTTCTGCATTTCTTATTCCGGGCTCCTGTGCCAATTTAATGAGAAGCGTGTGCTGGAAAAATGGATTGACCTGAAGGTAAGGTCGAAGCCACTCTTGTTTCTGGTACAGAAAATATCCGCCCCTTTGGAGGTCCAGCTGCACATTTGTCCATTTCTTCCTCTTAGGTGTCTCTAGCCAACTGCATTTGTGTTAGTGAAGAATTTATTTTCTGCGGGTGTGCTAATGGAACCGTGCGCGTGTTCTGCGCACACAACTTGCATTATCTCTCGGACTTGCCAAAGCCACACTATCTGGGCATCGACCTGGCTGCAGAAGAAACGCAGAGGTACAAAGCTCTGAGCGACAGCTGGTGGCGGAGATTGGGTGGGAAGCAAGCAGGCACAAGGTTGTGCAGGAGGCTGGTGCTGTGATGGAGTGGGAGGGGGGCACAGCCTGCCTATGAACTCTGTAGGAGGGCTTGCTGGGAGCCACTGGTTCCCATTTGTATTGTCTTGAAGCGCCACTGATGCCTGGCAATGTTGCCTGGCACTGTTAGGACCACAGATCCATCCCTGCCCTCATGCAACAAAGTAGACAAACAGTTGTTTTGCTGTGGGTTTGCAGTTTAACATCCTGAGAAGGAGAGTCAGCTGACGGTGTCCATAGTGATGCTGCGGATGGCTGACAGGTAATTAGCCAGTCAAACCCACGGAGGGATCTCTCTACTAGGAGCAGAAAGGTTCCCTCTCCTTCTCTTTTGGATGTGTGGTCATGTGGCTGGACAAAGCTGGCTGAGAGCAAAGGCGAAGGAGATTCCGCCAAGATGCTTGTGGAGGTCTAGACATTTCAGCCCCCCCCCCCGCATTGTACTGTGTTTACTCTAGCCTGACTCTTTTTTTCATGCTACTCCTACTTGCTCAAGTCCTTTGTAGCTTCCTTGGCTGTAAACGTCTGCATAGAGGCTCAAAACCTGGGCTTTAAAACATGCTGGGTAATCAGGAGTAACCTTTTTCTCTCTGTCATGTCTTCAAGAAGAGTAGATGCCACATACCCGGACACTCTTGCCTTGACCTTTGATTCCAGCCGTCATTGGCTCTCCTGTGTGTACAAGGATCACAGTGTGTACATCTGGGATGTGAAGAACACCAGTCAAGTTGGGAAAGTATGGTCCGACCTCTTCCACAGCTCATTTGTGTGGAATATTGAGGTGAGGGGGGACACTTATCTTGGAGAAGGCCTTTCCCCATTCCTTGGGTTGCACCTGGGCATCCTTCATCCCCAGTCCTCCTGCCTAGGAGGATGACTGTTCCTGTTCTGGAACGTTTCTCCCTTGCAGTTGAAACTGAGCCCTTGAGGCCCCTTTTTATTCTGTTGCCAAGGAAATGGCTCATCCTCAGCAAATGTTTGCAAGAAAGGAGGTGCATTGTATCTTCTGGGGATTGTCTCTTGACTTTTCTATTTCTTTTGTGTGCATAGGTTTATCCTGAGTTTGAAAACCCCCAAAGCTGTTTGCCCCCTGGATCTTTTCTCACATGTTCATCAGACAATACTGTACGTTTCTGGAACTTGGAAAATGGCACACAAACGTATCCTCGGGATAATGTCTACAGTAATGTAAGACTCCTATCTTGTTAAGAGGCAGACCTACACTTGCTGTGATGCCAAGTTGATGCTTGCAGTTAGCTTACACTAGTGAGTGTGTAAATTAAGTACGTTTCAAGGGCTGGAAGGCTTGCTAATCATTGTAGCTGGTTGGGGGTGTGCTGGACTGGCTCCCCGAGAACCTGGTATGAGGGGTACACTTTGCTGTCCTTTTGATGGTTCTTTTTTTCATTCAGCAGACTATATGTTGTTGGTTTTTTTCTTTTTAAAGAACTTGTTCAAGATTGTGTATGTGGAACAGAACACTCAGCATTTGCAGGATTCAACAAATGTGCCTGAAAGTGCTAGCTGCCTTGATGTGAAATCTGGTGTCCGTGTGATGCGAATTAGCCCCGATGGCCAGCACTTGGCTTCTGGTGACAGAGCTGGAAATTTGAGGTGGATCATTGGCTGTCCTTCTCATTCTATCATGTTTTGTTAGTAATTAATATAATTCTGCCCTCAGCTTGTGGTTTGCAAACCTTTGGGGCATGAAATCTTCAAATGGAATTTTGTCTTCACGTGTGATGTGAATGTTTCTACCACAAATTGGAGAACCAGCCTCCTTTTGACTTGATCTTGTGTTCAGGACTGCTCATGATATCCTCTGAGCAGCTTGGGTGACGGAATAATAAAAGGATGTTGACATTTGTTGCCTTAATCCTTTTAACAGGGAACTTGAGAGATGAGGTGCCTTCCTCTTTGGAAGGGCAATGGGGCTAGCCACTCATTGCTTCCCCCTGCATGTGAGGCATAAATGAGATAATGTAAGAAATTAATGAAAAAAATAGCCTGTGAATTTCCACTGTGGGAGGAGAGTTGTGTTCTTGACAAAGCAGGAGAGAAATGGAAATCAGCCTGTCCACATCCTTTAACAACTTTTAGTTTGTATCCTAGAGGTGAAGGATTAAGATTACAGAGGGCAAGATTGCCGTGAGGTTAAATGTTGCTCCAAGCAGCAAAAGCTATAAGAACTGAGCAACTTATGCATTGCAGTCTGTCTTGTTCTTCAGATGTCTTCTGAATAAATGCCAGCTTCACAGCCCTGTGTTTAAAGAACACGACTTTTAGAGCAATTAAATCATGTGTTTATTCTACAGGATACACAGTCTAAAATTTATGGAGGAAGTGATGAAAGTTGAGGCCCATGATTCGGAAGTGCTCTGCTTAGAATATTCAAAGCCGCAAACTGGTACGTATCCAAATCCTCCGGTGGGGAGTCCACTTTAACACATGTGTCTCTTGTCTTTTTCTCTCCCTGCCTCCTTTTCTTTCTCTTAACTGCTGGTTGCTGGAATGAGGAAAATTCCTCTGTTGTGAGGTTGCTTTACACCGGTGAAGTCAACGTAGTTCTTTCTGCTGTCTATAGGGATGGCTCTGCTGGCCTCAGCAAGCCGGGACAGGTTGATCCACGTGCTAAATGTGGGGGAAAATTATAAACTAGAACAGACATTGGATGATCACTCCTCAGCCATAACTGCTGTGAAATTCACTGGTAAGTTGTCAGAAGCAGGTTGTATTTAGTCGCCAGGGCTTATGCCTTATCTACATATTCTTCTATAAATCTTTTTTTAAAATCTCGGGAGGCTCAGCTCCCTGCCCCTCTCCCTTTAAATGATGACAACATCAAATTATGGGTGGTGCTTAACAGCAGTAGGGTCAGAAAGTATCCTTCAAGTCATTTTAAATCATTGAGTTTCAGCTGGAGAGTGAAATACATATCCATTTTTTGTGTTCTTGCATAGCTCCAATTGGTTTGCTCAGGAGACATTGTGAGTCATTTTTTTAAAATAGTACTTTAAGGATTTGAATGTAAATATCGTATCTGATATTTCAACTTTCCTATCATGCTGAGTGTGATGGGAGTTTTAATCCTATACATCTGGAGAGCAACAAGATGGGGCGTGTTTAAATTTCAATAATCATTTAAAAATTAGGCAACACTAGTGGTTTTTCTAGAAGGCTTCATTTTTCCTCACCATCTTGTTTGTTTATCCCCCCCTCCCCCTTTGCAGGAAACAGAGACATTGAGATGATTTTAGGAAACACTAGTGGTTTTTCTAGAAGGCTTTATTTTTCCTCACCATCTTGTTTGTTTATTCCCCCTCCCCTTTTGCAGGAAACAGAGACATTGAGATGATTAGCTGTGGAGCTGACAAAAGCATCTATTTTCGCACTGCACAAAAGGTTCTTAGAATTCACTTGCAGAATGTGCCATTCAAGAACGCCATGATGACTGCTAGATTTAAGTTGATTTTCAGAAGGGTTTAGATATATTTGTGGAGGGTCATCCTAACCCATAGTAATATGGAGTCTTCTTATCATATCCAAACGCCAGCTGGTGAGGAGCAGTAGCGTGGATGGGCTGCTTCCATTTGTCCCTGGCCTGTGGGCTCCTCAAATGCCTCTGGGTGGCCCCTGTGGAAGAAGGAGCATAGCCTCAGTGGATCCCTGGTCCGCTTCTGGGCTTCTCACCCTGCATTCTTGGGTGATCTTGAGAAGCATGTCTTCCTTAATCAGCTGCTAACTAGAAAATGGCCCTGTTCCTCTCCTGCCTCTGGAAAATAATGTTTTACAGTTTCATTTTGCCTAGAATACGGCCCTGTTCTCTGCAGCTGATGTAGCTGGAACAAAATTCCTTTAGTCGTTAGTCAGCGTTGTTGGGTTGGTTTCCTTCTCCAGGTTGCGGATGGAATTAATTTCATCAGAACACACCATGTTGCTGAGAAAACAACCTTGTATGACATGGACATTGACATAACCCAAAAGTATGTTGCTGTAGCCTGCCAGGACAGGAACGTCAGGTAAACTGTCCCACCACCCTCACAACGCCAGCAGCAGACCATATCTGCAGACACCTGTGTATCCCTTGGGACTAGAACATTTCAAATCTTCTGCCAAAACTTCTTTTTTTTTTAAAGGAAAGGGGGGAGGAATAGAACAAACCTTTCCATACTTCTTTCTCTTTCTGCTCCCCTTGCATTTTCTTTCCTCTGTTCCCTTGGTTTTTGCAGTGTTCCTTCCATCCATTCTCTTTGCTCGATTATCAGATCGATCCAGTCATTCTCTGTACTGAATAATACCGAAACTAGGGTGGCAGAAACCAGGAGAAAGGCCCTGGGGCAGCAGTGCTTTTGCCACGTCCTCCACCTGCTCAGCCATGAAGGGCAGGTGTCCTCCCAGCCTCTGTGTAGAGTCTGTGTCTCACACACCTGCCCTGCCTTGCCCAGGCTCCGCCCTGTTTGGCAGAGCACATGTCATGGCAGCAGTTTATCTGGTGTGGCGCCTCCGTACAAGGGCTTCCACCAGTTAGGAAGATGACAAGTATGGGCTTGCTCTGTGAACATACTCCAACGAGGACATGACTGTATCTCTTAGCACCATCCCCTGAACAAGCCTGCAATGGAATATATGGGATTCATTCTCCCCAGAGGCTGCATGGCACATGCCTGCCAAGCAAACAGGTTTCTTTGCAGGGCTTGTATGCCCCAAAGGTTGGGCCGGCTCCATGCCAACGCATGGCGTAAGACATTGTGCCGCAGAGGGCAGCTCTTGACGCTCTGTTATCCAGGAGGCAGCACATGCGCCTTGTAACCTCTTTACCTCCTTCCAGGGTCTACAGCACAGTCAGTGGGAAGCAGCAGTGGTGCTACAGAGGCTCGCAAGGCGATGAGGGGTCGCTTCTGAAGGTAATCTCTTGAAGAAGGGGATGGTTTGCCCACCGTTGAACACCTGTCCTCTGGAATGTGGCTTGGTGTCTCCCAAGAGAGGCTGGGTCCTCCTGGAAGGCTGACTAGGGGATACTGACCAACGCAGTGAATGACCTTTCTGAGAGTAGAGAACAGCGCCATGAAGCCATTGGGCTTTTTAAATCGGGAAGTGCTTCCAAGAAAGTCAGGACTCCTGTTTGACACTCCCTGTGCAGGTCCAGTTGGATCCTTCGGGGACGTTCCTGGCGACTAGTTGTTCTGACAAGAGCATTTCCGTTATCGACTTCCGTTCTGGAGAGTTTGTGGCCAAAATGTTTGGACACTCAGGTTTGTTTAAGGTTGTAGCTTTTTGTAGCTCCTTCTAAAGAAGCCTAACTTTTCCTCACGTGGCCACATCCTGCATATTCTCACTACTACCATGCCACCTGGAACATCCTGATCTGATTTCAGAACTGAAGCAGGATCGGGCTTCATTGAGTGCTTGGGCGGGAAACCCCCGAGGAATACTAGAGGTCTCCAGGAAGGGGGCGGAGAGCAGCCTGCCTAAAACCCTGGAGAGCATCCATGCCTGCCAGTCACCGTGGGTGACCTTGGGACCAATGGGTCAGGGGTCTGACTCTTGAGCCTGGAAATTCTTGGCCACTCCATATGGTCAAGGAGCAACCATGGTTTCTAGCTCTCGGATTCTGATTCAGGGCAAGGAACCTCGAGGTGTTGCTAGACTCCCATTGTCCTTCTCCCATTGCCTGTTCTGGCCAGGGCCCTTTGGAGCTGGAATGCAGAATGGCAGATCAATGGAAATCAACGTGTATCACATTATTATTCCTTATATTGCAGAAGTCATTACAGGGATGAAGTTCACCTTTGACTGCAAGCGCTTGATCACGGTTTCAGGAGACAGGTGGGAAACAGGAACTATCAACTTGATTTGTGTGATTCTAAACTTTGAGAAATTGCAGGCACATAATGGGAAGGCATAGTTTAGTGTACGTTTGGTGCTATGCAAGCCTTATAGGAGGAGAGTCTCTGGTGGTTCCTGATAGGCCATCCAAGGCATTGGAGATCTGATAGTGTTGGAGGGGGGCTGATCCTCCACCTCTTGGCCTCCCTGCTCTTTCTGAACCCCACTACCAAAGGCTTGGAGGGTTACATCTTGAAATTTTGCTTTTCCTTCTCTTCAGCTGTATCTTCATATGGCACCTTAGTCCTGAACTTACTTCGTACATGAAGCAGCATTTGGTAGAACTAGATCAAGTCGAAGAGCAAAGGAGAGCCAGAGGAGGCACCTGGGCCCCTCTAGTCAGGTACTGAAAGCCGCTCAGCTGTGTGTTCTCAGCGGGATGCGTTCCCCTCCTGCTGGAAACACTGGGGTTGTTCTGCCACTGCTGATGAAGGAAGGGGCTCATGGATCTGTCACCTTCTTCTTCAGGCAGGAGACTTACATTGCTGTGTCTCACGGGAGCAACCTCGGTAGCAGCCAACATGTGGCGGATTACGACACAGAGGAAGAGGAGGCGGAAGAACCGTCTCTTCAGACTCCCACAAGAGGGGACTTTGATCCAGGTATGAAGGGACCCAACCCTTCTCCAGGCAGCCAGGGTGCATGATAGAGAGCTGGAGACGGGGTTCCGTTTGGATAGGAACCTGAAACCATCAGAACCTCGGCCCTGCTCAAAGGCAGCCAGAGGAGTGGACGTGACAACATCCATTTGATCTGCTTGTGTTCTGGGACTGGACTCCCCGCATCCACCCCTGTGAAATTCTGTTTGATGGGGAAGTCGTTGGGTGACGTAAATGAGAAAATTTCAGAATTTATGTTTTGCTGGAGGTTTAAAATCATGATGTAGCAGCAAAAAAAAAAAAAAAAAAAAAAAAAAAAGCAGTACAGACATACAGTATCCTGATCAAAGAAAGTAACAGCACCCAGTGGGCAGTTTAACAAGGATCTTGAGAAGCTGAAAGGTGCCCAGAAAGCCAACAAGTTGTTTATGTTTAGCCTGGGAAGGTTTGAGAGGAGAAAGGATAGTCATCTTGAAACACCTGAAGGGCAACTGCATGCGGGGGGAAGGAGCAAGCTTGTTTTCTGTGGCTCCAGAGAGTAGTTTCCAAACCAAGGTGTTCATATGACAGAAAATGAAATGCTGACTGAACTTTATGAGGAGCTCCCAGAAGAAGAGAGTAAGCACTGCTGTTTAGTGGTGGAACGGCCTGGCTCAGAAGGGAGGGAGGGAGGGAGTCTCTTTCCTTGAAGGCTTTTTTTCCGTAGAAGCTGGGTGGCCAGCTGCCAGGTATGGGGTTGGAGTCCGTGATCCCTCCAGGCCAGCTTTTCTGTCAGGATTTCTAGTCCTTGATTTTTTTATTTGTGGGACTTGGTAAGTGAGGCTTTGCTTCAGCACATTTTTCTTTGCCTTGAGCACGACAAATCTATGTTTCTGCTTGAAGTCGGTTGCCTTCCCAAATGAAATGTTTAACCCTGCTGCCACTTCCTCAGTTTTACCCTCATACGTGTGTATGTGTGTGTTTTGTCTTGCTGCTCCACAGCTCCTTCTTGTGTCCTCACCAACGGCAAACTGCCAATGTGGGCAAAGAGGCTGGTAAGTGACTTGTTCAGAATGGAGAGCCATTTCATGCACGGGTGTCATCAAGGAGTTTGAGTTAGATCTGTCTGTCTGTCTGTCTGTCCCACAGTCACGTTCTTTCATTTGCTTCCCCATAGTTAAGCCATGGGGTGGGGTACAGATCCTGTGTCCCCCTCCCTCGGGTTTCTACAGATTGTGCTTTCTACCCCACCCCCTGCTGGCCTTCCTGTAACACCTGATGCCATGGCTGAACCCGGCTGGGGCTAATTGTGGCTCCCTTTTGTGGCCAGCCAGAATTTGGGCAGACAGCAGGAACTGGTCCTCCTAAAAGCCAGACATGGAAGGAACAACCCTGCAGTTAACAGTTATCCCCTTTGGTGCATTGTGCGTATGTGGGACCGTGGAGTGTAAGTTTCGCTTGGATGCGAAGAATGATTTTTGAGAGCGAGAGCAGAGAGACTGGCTCTTTTCAGTCTAGCAGCAGCAGCAGCATCAACTACAATGACAAATGCATTATTTATTGCTAGCAGTTACTAAATATTAGTTTAACAACAAGAACAATAGTAATAAAAATTGGACTCCTGCTGCCATTAGGGGTCCAGTGGAAACATCATGTGAGCAAATCTTGAGGCACAGAGGGTGTGTGTCTGTGGCTGAAGTCTTGGCTGTTTGTCTTACAAAACAGACCTGCAGTCAACACTGAATTGGTGGTATAAAAAACTACATCCTCTAAACTTTTCCTCTCTTGCTCTCTCTTTGTCTAGCTTGGGGAGGCAGACAGTTCGGACGGTACATCCCTCATTAACTCCAGGGCAAGTTATCAGCCACAAGGGCGATGGGCTGAACGTGCTGACAAAGAGCCAATTAAAACCATCCTGCCTGCAGATCTCAATTACTTCACTCCCATTAAAAATGAGAGCATGGATGACATTGAGCTGGAACCAAAGGCTCTGGACCAGCTGCTCTTGGAGGTAACGAATGTTTGCTCCCTAGAAGGAGCTCTGCTTTGCCGAGTGCTGTGGCGGTGCCTCCTGCCTTGGAGTCAAGGGACAGAAGCCGAGGGAGGAGCCTGGTGTGACTGGTGTCCATGGGAGAGATCTCTCTTGAACACCTTCACTGCGTGTCTTTGGAGCATAGGGAGCATCCCTTTCCTACCGAGAAGCTTCAGGGAGGGCCTGTTCAGCAGGGGTTAGGGAACAGGGCGCCAGCTGTGGAGAAGGTGGTTTCCAAAGAAGGTGGAATGGCTGTGGGCTGCATGGATGTGATTTCACAGACTGATGGGCCACCGGTTCAGAATAAGCCTGCCTTGTTCGTAGCAGCTTTGAAGCAGCCTCACCTGTCCCCAGCAGAGCTATGGGAAGTGGAGGGAGCGGCTTGGGCATGTAGGAGCCCATTTTTTCCCCCCATAGAGAACCCCTTTCCCTCAGGTCTCATTCGTTAGGAGTTGCATCTTGGCTGTGGAACAGTGCTGTACATCGTCAGTGGCCGCCTTTCTTTCTCCTTGTTCTTGCTTGCCCCTCCCTGCTCCTTCTGTTTTTGCCTTACCATCTAGAAGGCCGAAGACTAGACAGATCATTTATAGAAGTCTGTTGCAATTGGACTGAGGACTCACAAGGCCACACTGGGGGCCACCTGTAAGAAGAGGCCATCATTTGCCACCTTTGGCTTAACATTTTTATGTGCACTGACTACTTGCCTAGGGCATGTGGTCATTTGCTCGGCATCTTCCATCTTCTCCTTAACATCTGAGGGCAAAGGGTGTAAAATCCATGGATCTATAGCCATTGCACTTTCTACAGAAGGTGACTGCATCTCTTCTTTCATTCTGCAGACTGAGAGCTCCCCTAGCAACATAATAGAAGACTTCAAACAACCCAGTTTGTCTTCTGAAGATGAAGTGGCTCGCGAGCTTGACACCACGGAGCATGGGTATGGCATGCAGCACAGCTGTGACTCATCTCAAAGAGAGAGGTTAGTTTTTGCTGAATGCCCAGAGGGGGTCACCCTAAGCATGCTTACCAGGAAGGAGGTTCTGTTTAACCTGGGCGGCCTCACTGCCGAGTAGCATGTTTTGGACCAAACTGCAGGACAGGCGAGGGGCCCAATCCGCAGGGAGCCCCTTCTGCAGAGGACCAGTTTCTTTCTCCTGTTTTTCTGTTTTAGATTTGATTGCAGCAGTCATAGCGTTAACCCTCTTACCTCTCTTGTACTACTGAGCCCTCCTCTCTTTTACTCCAAAATACCTTGAACTGATCATGGAATCCTTTTTTTCAAGAAGCACTGATTGTCTGTTGATTTTATAGGGGACATGTAGAGGAGTTGCCTCTTCAACCAGTTTATGGAAAGGACACTGAAGATGCGAAAGAGAAGTTGATAGATCAAATGTGTTCAGGTGCTTCCATGGATCCGGAGGCATCTGCTTCTGGTCACCAGCAGGAAGGTCAGCTTCTAAAAGATGGGTCCTTGTCATGATGCCCCAAATCCCTCCTGCCGCACATATATCTATATGGTTTCTTTAGCACTGGAATGGCAGAAGGAGTTTGGCTTCTCAGGAGGCTGTTTGCCTTTCAGTCTCTGCCCACTTCACCAGCAGCCAGAAAACCATGAAGACCTGGCCCTTGATTCCTCACAGAGGATGTTCCAAGGGCAGTCTGTCTACAATGTCAGAGAAGAGACTAGAGGGTGATAACTGCACCCACTCTTCCTCCTTCCAACTTCCAGAAATCAAGAAAGGGGAAGCCAGGGGCCAAGAGAAATATCTGTTGGTTGAGTTGTTATAATCCTCCTAAAAATGGTCCCATGCGGAGAGAGGGAGGAGGTGCAGGCTTTAGGAAGGGAGCTTTATAAGACACTATTTCCTTAAACAACTTTCACGTAGGCTGGCAGGGAGGAAAGTAAAGAAGAGGGTGGGTCCCTTGGAAGTTCTGGTGGGAATCGAACTCAGAACCTGATTCTTCCAGCACCCAAAATGATCCTTTGTGTTTCCGCCTCCGTTCACTAGTGTGCTTATTCATTTTTTTTTGTTCCTTGGCTTTATACAATCTGCCAGCAGAACAAGAGCCTTTTGTTTCAGAAACAGAAGCAGAAATGACGGAGCTCGATGAGACCTTCCGGCCGAGCAACTCTTTGCCAAGAACTCCTGAGCAAGAAAAATTCCTCAAGCATCATTTTGAGACCTTGGGTGCTGCCCTACCTGAAGGTGATGTGAGGAAGTGGGAAGCAGCACACAGCTGTCAGGCTAGCTCCCTTTCACCTGCGCTTCCCCCCCCCCAGCACACCAACTCTGCCCCCAACAAATGAGGCTCATTACACAAGGATGGTCAAGGAATGTTTCCAAAACTCCTCTTTGTAATCCCTGAGTGAACACAACCTGCTGGCGAGCCAATTCTTCGTTCAGGGACTGATCCTGTCTCCCTTGTCCTGGGAGAGAGAGCCTTTCTATTTCAACTTTAAGAGAAAGTTCATTTGTGTTCTCTTTCACCTTCAACTGCAGAAAGATTTGATGGTTGCATAAAGGATCTGAAGTGCCCTGGAGATGAGGATGAAGAAAGCACTTTGTTTCTGAACCCTCGCCTGAGCATTTCTGCCAGATTCCTCTCTCGCTGTCAGAGAAATAGCAGGTCGGCCAATTCTGTTTTGTCTGTCCTTCAGTGATGAAATGTGCTTTGCAAATTTGCACTGCTGAGGTTGTGCTCCTTTTGTACAGGTTTGCTTCTGCATTTTTGCCAAGGGCCCATCAACAGGCAGAGGTGGCGATGGTGGCGGCTGCTACCGCTACAGCGACGGCTGCACAGTTGGTTAAGGAGGATAATCTACTCTCCAGTCAGCTCAAGAAACCAGAGGCACGTTGATCTTCCAAGTGGTGAATGAGCAGTTGCAATCTGCTGGTTTATGATTGGTAGCAGCCCTGTTGGCCATAGGTCCTGGGAGTTATAGGCTAAAAAATTAAACGTTTCCAAACTGTCCCAATCACCTCTGTACTTTTGCAGCCGAGTGGGTCCAAGCATCTAACTGCAAGTAGTCTGTCTCTCTCTCTCTCTCTCTACCTGCCACTCTTGTGAGCAGACCAAGGATCTGCTTTGATGTAGGACAGCTTTGTATGCAAAGGCTATGTTGCAATTTTCCATAAGGTCTCTGTGAAACTTCACGGTGAAAGGGGCTCCCCTGGGTGACAAGTGTAAATGAGTTCAGCTCCTGACTTATGTCTGCCATGAGAGAGTTCTGGGACAGATAATTAGCTGTGGAAGTCATGAGACATTTTGTGCTTCACCCCCTTTATTTCGGAACTGATACACAAGAAGAGTGGGTATGTATGAGTAAGAAAGGAACTGAAAATTGTTTTAAATATCTTCAGTAAAGTGAAAACTTTAAGCAGAACCTTTGTGCTTTGATTTCTAATGTCCTGTAAAATAACTGGTTTTAGAGACCTTCAGCAGAAAGTCGCTCCGAGTTGAAGGACAAGCACAATGCAAAAACATACACCATTTCAGGTAAGAGGCTTGACTAGATGATGACATTTCAGGGTAGTGTCAAACATTTTCCTTTGCATTAAATGTCCAGTGCTGCAAATCGGCCCATGCTAGAAATGCTCACTCCTCTGGAAGTATGTAGGGATTTTGGCCCCCTTTTTTGACAGACATAATGAAATAGGTTATTTTCTCCTTTGTTAGATCTTCCTTCCTAATCTCTGGTAAGACCACAGAGATATATTTTTAAACTCCTTTCTTTCTGTTCTTAGAAATGCAGGATCTTGTCAAAACCTTTGAAGTGAACCTGCAATCTCTCTGCAGCAGCTTTCAAGAGACATTGCAGCTTTATGATAAGGTAAGATTCAACATGACCAACATGAATTTAACCCAACTCCGGGAGGCAGTGGAAGACAGGAGGGCCTGGCGTGCTCTAGTCCATGGGGTCATGAAGAGTCGGACACGACTAAACAACAACAAAGATGCAAAACCCTACAGCCGTAAGGTATGGGTATTAAAAGAAATAAAAAGCAAAGATAGCTATTAGTGGAAACAAAATGAACTGTTAGTCACTACTTGATAAGGGTTTCAGTAAAAGCCTTCATCTGGCTCTTCCAATCCAAATGTTTCCTCTTTTTGCCCCCGGTAGGCGTTTCTGAGGGCACGGGCCTTCAGACCGGTTGGTTGAAGACAACTCTTCCTACACCCCATCAGTTGCTCTGTCTTTTTTGATGGCACTGGAGGGCAGGACGCATTGGCCTTCTTTATTACTTACTACTACCTAGGTGTGGGCAGAGTGGTAACATTAGAATGGCTGTGGACATCTGGGCATGAAAGCTTTCATACTTTGCTATATAGGTGGCTTTCTGCAGTGACTCAAAGAGTGAGGAGGAGCTCCTTCATATAAAGAGCAAGATGGTTAGTACTTTCTGTTGGATGAGAAGTGAACTGGACTCCAGAGCCATAACGATTAACACTGACGTGGCTGCAGCCACAGACAGCTTGTCCCCTTGTCTCAAGTGCCTCCAAGACGGTGAGACCCATTCTCTTCTAAGACACTACTCTGAGTCATTGCTAAATATGGTCCAGAAGAGGCTGGATGAAGGAAACAGAACAGCCATTGCTTGAACTGCCTTGAGTAGTGACCACATCTCCCGGTGCCTGTCTTTATTGCACTGCTGAGCAAAAGAAAAGACTCAGTTTTGTTTAACTCCTGAGGAGTTGGCTATTCTTAGGACACAACCCAGGGGGATTTTACTTCTAGCATTTTTTCGTTTTTAACATCTACAAGCACACACCTACAAATCTGAATGTCGGTAGTTTTCTGAAGTGGCCTCCTGTGAAAAACATTCTTTGTAGCAAGGAAAGAGCAGAAGTTCACTTGGGTTGTTCTGATGTCTCCCACAGGACTTTTGTTTGGGTTGAAATACTGTTTTGCAACGTTAACTTTAAAATGTTTATTCCTTTGGAGGTGGTTTCAGAAAAATAATTAAATTTTGCTTCCTGTCTTGAAAAAAGTATTTGTATGTGTATGTATTTTACTCTACATAAACATTGGAGGAGGATAATTTTTAAGAATGACCACAGAGGATTGTAAAAAAAGTCAGTACAGTCTTCTAACACACTGAATGTTAACAAAATTAATATTCTGATGCTCCCACACTGCTGTTAAATATATAATTATGTTAACTGCTATAACCTACAGAACTACAAAATCTTACTGCTATAATAATATAATTACTGGTTTAATTATAGAAGTTGCAAAGTTGTTCAGCTAAATCTCTAGACGGAGTAACTTTGTACTGAAATAAATTCTTTAGGACTAAATCTGCTTTAGGGTCCAACTAGAGTTACATCCATTGCATCAGAGGGCCTCAGAATTAATGTAACGAGTCCCATTCATTTAGCAAGTCTGCACCAGATCAGACTAACAATTGGATTTTATCTTTAAGGTGCTACAAAAATCATTATATCTCAAAGAGGTTTCCTCCTTTTCTCATCTCGTGTGGAGTGGGGAAGAGGCAGTGTATCTTGAAAATGGCTGGTTTTCAAGATACAGTACCTGGCTGCAACTCCAGACACAAGCAAAGCAAAGCAAAGCGTGCTGCTTACGGCTGGTTTTCAACATACAGTACCTGGCTACAACTCCAAACACAAGCAAAGCAAAGCAAAGCCTGCTGCTTATATAACGCTCCCCATAGCGCTTCAAGCACTCTCTGGGTGGTTTACACGTTAATTATACAGGCTACACATTCCCCCCCCCCCGCGAGCTGGGTACTCATTTTACCAACCTTGGAAGGATAGAAGGCTGAGTCAACCTTGAGCCGGCTACCTGGGATTTGAACCCCAGGTCGTGAGCACAGTTTTGGCTGCAGTACAGCAGTTTAACCACTGCGCCACGAGGCTCCTTTCGCCACGTTTGTAGCCCAGACAGTGACCATGAAAGCTGGGGAATGTTGGAAGTAGTGACTTAAAATTAAACCCTAACTTTTCTCAACGCCTATTTAATGCTATAACATGTTATTGCAGCCCCACTGTGGTACAAAGACAGATCTTAGGTGACCTTTGAACCATGTTTTGTTAGTCAAAAGAGAACAAGCACTTGCATGAAATCAAACTGCTCAGAAAGTTGTCCATGGAAACACGTTTATTCAAATCTGAGCACTGGGCAAGACATGGAAATGTGTCTGTGTCTGAAAGGAGAGATTTGTTTGCTTTTAATCCGCGTGGCCAGAAGCCAAGAGTCTCTGGAGCCCTCCGAACCTTTTTTGCCCCAGCGCTTCTTGCGGGCATGATGGCCGGTCTCACTTCCTGAAGAGCTGCAGAAGAGGACAGCCCCTGGCAAGGGAAGCTGCCGTTCCGCCTGGCTTTAGCACTTGCGATAGAACCATCCAGAGAGACACAGCAGCTACTGCAGGTTACTAAGAATTATCTTATGCACTCCCTTATTACCTTAAAACCATAGGTACCGAAAGCCATAAGTTCAAACTCCACTTCTGGCCTGAGCTGCTAAGGGCTACTCAGTTCACCACTGTACTTCACAAAGGGTGCTGTGTGCCTTGGAACTTTACACATTGCTAAAGGTAGACAGGCTGCCTCGGGAGGCATAGCAGGAGAGCTGAAAGTAATCCCACCGGGGGCTACCTGCTGTTTCAAGTTTGGATTCCTAACAAGATTGCCCAAGGTGGAATGGTCAAAACGCTCGGCCTAAGCTGCCTACACCCTCTTCAATAGATAAAATGTGCCTTTGCAAAAGAGAATCGATAGCTCCCTTGATGATGAGGAAGAAGTTCTAGAAGAGCAGCTGTGGGACAGCTGTAACAGTGGAAGGTGACACTGACAAGGAATATTTAATGAACAAGGGCAGCAACTCAAGCTCACTCTCATTAATGCTCTGCAGAAAAAAAAGCAACTAAGCCATTTCAAATAGTTACATCTCAAAACCTACCAATCCAAAATGGAGCAATAGACAGTACTGGAGGATGAAACTCCAGGATGTTTTCAAACACTAATTATAAAGTGCTTTATTCTGGAAGTGACAAACTCAGAAGAATGTTGCAGTAATAGTGAGGCAAGACATAGCATACGCAGTTAGGTGCCATGATGCAAAATTCGACCAAATAATGTAACTCAGACATTTTGGAAAATGATCAGTGTAATGATTAATCAAGTCTCAGTTTCATCAATATTTTCAACTACTGATGCAAAAGAAGAAGAAACTATAAACCTTTATGGAACTGGCCAGAAGGAAATAAATCACACACAGAGAAAAAGAAAATAATGATAGTCATTGATAAGTGGAAGGCAACGGCTTTTTTTCTTGCAAATTAATGCATCAGGTAAACTCACAATGAAGGTCACCAGAAAGCCAAAGAAAAAGAAATCAGACAGGCAAAACATTGGAAAGCCTCTATTTTCTCTAGAAAATCAAGAGAAAGACCACACTACGTACAGACCATATACTGCTATGGTGAAAAACTTGAGTAAAGCTGAAGAATACTAAAACACTCATAGTTCCAAAATGTAATTGAATAATATTCCTGAAGAATGTAAAGATAATGTAAATAAAAGATTTGCACTACTGAACTCATTGAATAGTGAACCATAACAATTGTGGGTGGAATCCAGAAATATTATCAGAAAAGAATGCTAAAAGAAAGTTCCTGTAGTTAGAAGAAAAGAAAAGCCTGGGTAGATTACTGGTGAAACACTTAAAATTGTTAACAACAGACGAGCATCCAGAAATGGATGTTTTAAGAAGAACATCGCGGGACTCCAAAGTTTATTTATTTATTTATTTGTTTGATTTATATCCCGCCCATCTGGTATATTCTACCACTCTTGTTGCTGATCACCTGCATTTATTAGCTCCTGGACAGCATACTCCACAGATGCACGAATCATCTAGTTTTAGAAGAAGCTGCCATGTTAGTCTGTGCCAACACAGTTGTCTGAGGAAGTGGACTTGTCCACAAAAGCTCACATCAAAATATAGCAGCTAGTCTTTTAAGATGTTACAGCAACAATATTGTCTTCCTTATTTTTTAGTTTTCTTTTGTTTTTGGCCTGACATGCTAACAAGGCATCTAGTTACCGTCTTCCCCATTCTGGTGAGTAGTCGTGCCATTTTGTTTCAATGATAAAACCCCTTAACATTGCCTTTGTACATTAAATTAGCATATGCATTTTATTGTAAATTATTTTTCTTCTTGTACTTCCTATTTTGGTGATATGTAAGGAGTTTCTTCATTGCAGCCCCCCTAGTTGTGATGAACGTCTTTTTCACTCCCAGGCATTGAAGAACAGGCAGGTGCCCAGTTCTCCAGCTGCCTTCCCAAAGAGACTCATTCCCTGGGTAACCGTCCCAGGCCTAGGCGCTCTCTCTCTCCACTGTAATCAACGGAAGGATTTGCGTACTGCGGATGGAGAGCCTTTGTTGCCTTTGCAGTTAGGAGGACAGGGTATGCAAAAAAGGGGGAAGGTTTCCTATTCAAAACACACACAAACACACTTCACATCCCCAGGACATCCAGTATTGCTGCTTTAAATAGAGCATCCAGCATGCTGTGACGTACTGTACAATCTCTGTTCAATCTCATACTGAGAAGCTAGATTTTGTTCTACGGCAAACAAGAAGTTGAGTTTGGTCTTCTGGGTGGTCTTCCCACTTTTGTTGGAAGGTGGGTGTGTTAGAGAGTGGCATCAGTTTTGTAACAAAGTGGGTGGAAGTTTCAGCGTTGCTCTTTGAAGTTTTTACACCAGCCTTTTGGCTGTAAGGTTGATGTGGCTCAATACTCCAGCAAGGAGGGAGAGAGGGAGAGGGAGAGGGAGAGAGAGAGAAAGGACTTTGGAGTTCAGTTCCACGGCTTATCATAAATTCCTCAGCTGAGCACATGCTGGGAGGGACCGTGTGATTCTTAGGATATGGCTAACTGCTTGAGCCATAATTCTGCAGCTGACCTCTGGATGATGAACTTCAGGGTTTTAGTAGAAACAGGGTTTAATGGGGTGGCCCTCTAGGGCTGGCAGCCATCAGGTTGATTTGCAGGCCACTGTTTTCAATCTCCCAGTTTCTGATAAGAGCAGCAAAAACTAAAATTATTTTCTCCTAAATTAGGTTACTGAAGAATGCTTGGGGTGGGGTTGGGAAGAGAAGGCAAGGATTGGACCTTGTGTGAAAGGACTTTGGAGTTCAGTTCCACGGCTTATCATAAATTCCTCAGCTGAGCACATGCTGGGAGGGACCGTGTGATTCTTAGGATATGGCTAACTGCTTGAGCCATAATTCTGCAGCTGACCTCTGGATGATGAACTTCAGGGTTTTAGTAGAAACAGGGTTTAAAATCCTACAACCTGGATTTGCCAGCAGCCTAGAATTAGAGGATTCTGTGATGCTGCACACATCTGCAAGCAAAAAGCAAATTCTATATTCAAGAATTAGGGACTTCAGTTCTAGATGAGAAACTGAAATCTGGAATCCAAAGTCCAGAATAGGAACTAGAACTCTTTGATTCCAGACTGGTTGCCTCAGGAATGTTTCCTTCCCTCAGATTTCAGAGCTTTATTTTAAGGTGTTGATCCATTGTTGATCACAATGCCAACATTGTTTAACTGGATGTGTCCAGATTGATCCAGGTGCAGGGAGAACCCCTTGCACCAGCTCTCCATCACATCAACAATGCCTAAATCCTTCCTGGTGAAGCGGCGTAGCTCAGCACAGCTAGCGTCCCAGAACTGGGGAAAGCTCTCAGATCAGCTCCGGGGAGACTCGTACATCCCAGGTAAGCATCCTTGTTGGATACGGAGCGGGGGTGGTGGTGTATGTGTCTGCGTGCCAGAAATATATCTGGAATTACTGTACATTTCTCCATGTAAGTTTGAACTCTTAGCCAAAGAGTGGAAAGTGAAGCAGGTCAAGCAAGAGCTCCCCAGTTTCTGCCTTTCCTTTTATACCTAAGAGAACATCCATTAAGAATAGTGGGTTTGGAGAGACCTAGACCAAGACTCACTCACTCCCTTCAAACGATCCTTCCTTCCTGCCAGGAAGAGCGAAGCAAATGTCCCATTTGGGCAGAGTATGCCTTCCCTTTCTGGCCGGGGGCTGGAGGGGAAAGGACAGGATCATGAGCCAATATTTCACTGTAGCAGAGGCGGGCTTTTTCCAGAGCCTGGAAATGTTCCTTTTTCTGGATTGCAGCTCCAGGAATTTCCCAGCCAGGATGGCCAGTGTCTATATTGGCTAATCTGGCTACTGTGGGGTTGTAGTCCAAGAGATGGAAGAGTCCAGGTTCAGGGAAGTCAATCTGCTCCATTGTTTCTGCAGAGAGATCGGTATTATCTCCTTCAGTTGTTACCGGGGCATTAGCCATTCCATCCGGCTGCAAGAGAGGCATCAGCAGATGAGAAACAGGGCTGGCTCTTCACCTCTGCTCAGCAGCCTCATCGGTATTCTCCTGAGCCTGTGCTTTGCTTCCGCTTCTTTCTATCTTCCTCATTTATTTTTCTTGCCTTGTGTTGTGGCAAGAACAGACTTCGTACCCCTTGGGGGACCTTTGCAATACTATGTGCTTGCTCTTGGGATTCTGGCTCTGGAGCCCAAACAAGCACAAAGGATCTAGAGATCAGGAGAGTGGAACCTGTCGCCCTCTGCTCTCACTACTGGCTGGAATAGTTGAGGCCAAAGGGAATTGGGGTGAGACCACTGCGGAACGAAATGTTCCCTTGGCATACTATAGTCAGTTGTACTTCCTCTCTGGTCTGCCTGTTATTTGGATGTAAACTCCCATCACTCCAATTCAACATTTCAGGACAGGATTCTGGAAGCTGAGATCCAGAATACAGTCAGTCCTAGAAGGTGAGCGGCTAAGAACCAGGGCTCATCAGGCTCACCAGAGATTTCCTGCTAAAAGAATTCCTGACCTGCCCCACGAAAGGGGCTGCCGTGTGCTGCCACAGAAGCGGGTGGGGTGCTCCAGCAGTGGCGCATAAATCCTGTTGTCTCAAGCCCAACATATGCCTTGAGCTACCACGTCCTTCCTTTCCTCTCCAAGTTACATACATACCTTCCTGCCTCAACCTTCTACAAGTCAGCACTGTCGAGGGCAGGGCTCCTGTGAGTGAGCAGTGGCTTGGATCTTTTACAAGGTATGAAAATCCAGAATCCACTTGCAGACCCCCACATCCTTCTTGCAAATGATGGTGGAATGAGCCCGAGAGAGGGGACTGGCGGAGATTTCCAGGACCATGTCCAAAGCTGGTTGTACTCCCAGCCGTGCGCCACGAGAAAAGGCCTTCATAGCATCATGGTAAGTACAGGCTGGCCTCACATGGCTTGGTGATTTGGTCTTCGACATCTCTGGGGAATGTTGATGGGATACTGTCTTATAGCAAGGTAATAGTGGAGGGCTGAGAGTTTGTGCTGTTCCCAGCATTCAGAGCATCACATATTATTTTAGTCATTTTCACAAGCTGCCTGTAAGGCAGGCCAGCAACATTCTTTCCAGCTGAGGTTAAAAGACTAAGAATTTCCCAAGACACTTTGGTGAGTTCTTTGCAGGCGAGAAGATAGATTTCAGAAGCAAAGTTTTAGATAATAGTTGGATTACGTTGCATTTCAAAGTTCTCTTCAGTCTTCTCTGTTGTAAACATCTTGCAATCTAGCGCTATCCCCCCACCACACTTTCAAACTCCAGCTCAAAAATCCATCAGTTCTTGAAAGAAGCCTAATTACAAATCCTGCTGCATTTCCAGCCTTTTAGGTTGTGATGAACTGCGGGACAGCTCAGGAGTTTAGGGATCGAGCCAGAGTTGGGAGTTCAATTCCCCAGGGTGCTTCTTCGACAGGGGCTGGACTTGATGACCCATCAGGACCCCTCCAGCTCTGCCGTTCTCAGATTATCATCTCAGGGCAGGGCCTGTGTTTGTGTGGCCTTGTCCCAGAAAGCTTCTCCACCCCTCTTCCTTTTCCCCCTCCAGGGTAGGGTCCCTCCAGCTCAGACCGAATTCTGGTGCCCTGTGTGCAGCAAATGCTTTCCACTCCAGCGCATGCTGAACCGGCATCTCAAGTGTCACAGCACCGTCAAGAAGCATGTCTGCACATTCTGTGGCAAGGGCTTCAATGACACCTTTGACCTCAAGAGGCATCTGAGGACACACACAGGTGGGCCCAGCCCCCTCCCCACTGCAGACTTCCCTTTTTTCTCGATTTACAGAAAGAAGGAACACCTCAGTATACGTTTACAGTTGCATTAGCCAACAGGGGTTTCCTTCCATCTTTTCACCACAACCCTATGAAGTAGGAAGGTTCCTCGCTGAGCAGGATCGAAAGCCCTGTCCTCCCTCTTCCATCTTGAACAACTATGTCATACATTCCCAATTTATTTTCCTCTAGTTCAGGTTCAAACCTGTTTCGAAGAACGTGGTGTAGCACTTAGCGCCTGCATGGAGCGTAAGGGTGCCAAAAGCCAAGCCACTCCTCTGAGGAGACACTCCTGCCCACACCTTCACAGGACTGTTTTAACATTTTTAATTGCACATTGAACAAAGAAGCAATCCAGAGAATTGTAAGGAGAATTCACCCCAGTGGTGAAGTCTCCCAGACTCACCAAAGGACTGCATTTAACAAACTGCAGCCTCAAACAGAAGTGGAGAGTTCCGCTTTTTGCAAAGCGAGGCACGCACCACTCAAGTAAGCAACCAAATGTCCTGTGAAAGACATGAACAATCTGTGAGTTCAAAGCCATGGCAGGGAGACCTGACATTTAAACTTCTGCTAATAATTAAGTACGCAAGCATATCAACAGTTGCCCACTAAAAAAAAGAAAGGGAGGAAGCAATCCCATGTATTGTGCTGTGTGCCCACAGGCATGCTTCTTTGCCTGGTGGACAGCAGTAGTGGTATGAACCCAAAGCCAGGAACTCAATGAAACCACAAATGTTTAATGCAGCTTGGGTATTATCTGGGCCTGTGTATTCCTTCACATTATTACATTTGTGTCTTTTTTTTTGTTCCTTGGAAAATTTGAATTGGATAATGTTATCCCATTCCATTTCTCATATACCATATTTTGTTTTGTTTCTAATTCTCATATTCTCCCAATTGCTAACCTTTATCAATATAGCATTCTAAAGGGCCAGTTTGAGATTTTGAAAAAAAAAATCCCCATCTCCTTTCAAATGCAACTGCAGTTGCACTAATTCCTGTTGTTCCTTTATTGTTCCCAGACCTAGAATCAGACCAGCCGAGGGTTGGGAGGCATCATTTGAGGATCCTTCCCAGAACCTCCCACCTTACCAGCAGTCCTTCTCACCAAGAGGCCTGGGAAGGAACCGAGAATGTCTGGCTGGCCAAGCTCAGCTGGTGGCCTTGAGCTGGGCTCCCTGCCAGGGGTGAGGTGACAGCACAAGGAGAAGGAAGCCTGAGCACACCCTGCCAACAAGGAGCATCCAGTTGGTCTGGGTGGGGTGGCAGAACTTTAGTCAGGGGTCCTGCCCTTGTGCTGCGCCCACTCCTAGCCTGGTAGATGATGAGCCCAGGCTAGTCAGCGAAGGAGAATATGGCATAGCATCTGGACACATGCTGGCAGCTTCACAGTCCTTCAGCCTGAATGTGGCAAACTCTGCCTTGTTTCCTGCACAGGTATCCGCCCCTACCGCTGCTGGGTCTGTGACAAAGCTTTCACCCAGCGTTGCTCCCTGGAGTCCCACCTCAAGAAAATCCACAGAATCGAGCAGAACTATGCCTACCGTGAGCGTCGCTCCAAACTCTTTGTCTGCGAAGAGTGTGGCTTCACCTGCAGTGGGAGTGATGAATACTACAGCCATGTGCACAAGGTCCACCCCATCCGTGGCCTCTTAGGGGAGGACTCCCAGAAGTCAGCATCCAGTCACCTCCGTGCAGAGTTCCACCTTTTCTATCCTTCTCTGTACTAAGGACCAAGGCAAGGAGTAGGGCTGAAAGTGTGGCTTGACGGGCTGAGGAACTCTGCTCACTTCCATCCAAAACAGGTGCTTTCTCCAACTACAGCAAGGCTAAGCAGATCTTTTGCTTGAAAAGGGAAAGTTCAGATCTAAGTAAGTATGAAAATATGGACTCTACAGACTAGCTAAAGCCGTCAAATAACACATGTTGTATAATGTGTATTGTATCAACTATTTTGCAGGCCATGAAAATGGTCAGGAGAGCCCCGTGCCCTGAATCAATACTGCTTTTGCAGGCAGGAAGCTTGTTCCTTCCCCTCGGGCGATTTAGGGTGGGGAAGTAGGCTTTCATGAGGAAATAGCAGAGCAACGTGTTCATTTCTTAGGGGCTGAAATGTGTCTCAATCCAGGCTTCAGCCCAAGTTCATTAGTTCTGCCAAAATGGGCCAAGACCAGCCCCGCGAAGAAGTACAAGTTTGACAGGTCTAAAAAATATGAACCATTTTTATTAACAGATAAACCTCACCCAGCTAAAGTCAAATAAAGTGGGATAACAGATGGTTCTCCAGGCAGTTCCATCAGAACAAAGAAAGAGGATGAGGACAGATGACATCCCCAAAGCCTTCATTCTGTCCAACGGTGACCACAGTGTGGGGCTGTGCAAACATAATACAACCTCATGGCATCCTAAAAGACCAAGGAGAGGGTTTGATTAGACTGACACTGAGGGAACATGAAAACCTTGGGACATCCAGAGGCTCTGCCCAAGGAAGTACTTGCCATAGCTTTTGGACTACAACTCCCATTATCTACAGCCAGCAAACCAAATCTCATTGGCAATGCTGTCTATGCAAGACAGAAATTCCTGTGCATTTGTATGCCACTAGTTACAAAGAGCCCAAACGGAATTTCACTCACTTGTCAGCTGTTAACTGTTAAACAATATTCAAAGAAGACATATGGCTGTAGATGGACAAATGGCATGCAAGTTCAGTACCAACTAGCTGAAATGCTGCTGGACAGGATACCATCACTTAGAACATGCCGGAGGGGTTGGCTGGTAGTTAGAAACACCTGTTGCCCCAAAGCAAAAAACAAATCTGTTCACCTCAGCCCTTGCACTGTGAGACTGGAAAAATACAGCTTCCTTGTGACCACACCTGGAAGAGAGAATAAATGCACATTATTCGTTGAAAGGCAGGACAGATCCAGAGGGGAACCATGGAATGGTCCCTGTAGATCAGTGGTTTCTAGCTTTAAGTCCCGAGAAGCCTTCACCACTTGCTGTGCTGGCAGGATTTCTGGGAGATGCAGTCCAAGGACATCTGGCGACCCAAGGTTGGGAACTGCTGCTGTAGAGGGTTTCTAAGCACCATAATCTTGCCCGAGGCCACCCTATGAGACACATTTGTTCACCTTCTTAAAGGGAGAATGGTGAGGGCTTACAACTCACTTCTGACAGGGGTGGTCCTCTGTTCGGGGCAGAGTTGGATCCTGAGAAACATCAGCGATGATTTGGGTTAATTCACTGAAATACAAATTTTATGTTCTTTATTCTTTCAACATAAATCCTGCTTATTTCATAATGTATAAGGTACCTTACAACACAGACATACAAAAATACCCCAAAATACCATTAAATGGTGGCCCAATGAATATGAAGCCCTGGCTTTTGAGATGTCCTCCCTCTTCCCCCCCTTTCTTCTTCTAGTCTTTCCTCCTTCTCTTCCTCCTCGAATTTGACTTCTTATAGACTTTCTCAAAATCCATAAAAACCCTTAAACTGAGTTGGTTGCATCAGCTGAGCCCCCTCCCCTCTGCACCTCCTTCTTGGCATGAAGCCTTAGTGACTGGCTATCTGGGAGGGGGTTTTAAACGGAGTGTTGTGCCTTGTTGTTTTGAATCTGTTGTTGATATTTAGTTTACCATTTTTAGTGTGCTATTTGTTTGATCCTTTTTAATATTTACTTACTGTTCTTAGCTTTTAAATATTGTATATTAATTATGCAGCCACCTTGGGTGGTTTAAGGAGAAAGGCAGGGAAATAAATAAATAAGTAAGTAAGTAAGTAAGTAAGTAGCTAGCTAGCTCTCCCGCCCAAGCCCAACAGCTAATCACTTTTCTGATTCTGCCCAAATCCGTCTGCACGTTAAGATAATCCCTGGAGAGCATTCTTTTAAATTCCCAGATGGTAATATCTACTTGAGGAAATCCTTGTTAGAGAGCAGATTCACTGAACTGATTGCTAAATGGCAACTCAACACTTATGTAAATCCCACTTAACCAAGGGATCTATTTTAGTTGGGACTAGCAACAGGAAACTGGCCTTTGCGACTAATAAACCTGTTAGTCCTTAATGTGCCATGAAAAAAACCAAATAAAGTAAATTGCAGGATGAATTCTGGTGTTGTTGTTTTATGGGTTTTGAAAGACTTTAAAAAGTTGCCTCAGCTGCATTATTGCAATTCTGTTGTTAATGCAAAAGTTTTCTAGGAATACTTATTTCAAGGGTGAGTAATTATTTTCTTGATTGAATAAATACAATCTAAATACAATCTAAAATTCAAGAAGTGCCTCAAAACTGTTAAATAACCCACAGCAACATTTTGATATACAGTAACAACTTGGCAGTCAGACCTAGTGATGGCATCTTTGCAAGGTAAACACATAAACGAAATAGTCTCTTGGCTACATTTCTGTCATCAAATTAGCAAAACAGATTGAAACTGCTTCTCCTGCCTCCTTTGAAGATTGGTAACAATGATTTTTTATAAACATCCAAAGAAACCAAGCCAAACCAAACTTTAAAAAGACAAAAATATGTGGCACATTAAAGACTTTTTTGTTTTGTTGTGGGATTGTTTCTTTGGATTTTGCCTGATATGCTTGCAAAGATGAACACGGCTACCTCTTCCAAAGGATTTAATCTTCCCTGAATCCCCAGCAATCACCATGGTCATCCATCCCTCCACCCTGTGGTTACTATTCCAGCATTAGGAAAAACAACAGCAGCACAGCCATGTACACAGGCCCCCGGAAGGCAACCGCGAATACCTACTCTACTTCATGTGTGATCTTATTGACATAGATGCAGCTGTTGTCTGCTTCCTGCTGGTAATCGCAATTCCGGCACTTGAGAGAAGAAAGAGGAGTAAGATGTCCTGTGTCCCACGGAAGCAAATGGGACGACAAAAAGGTGGTCTTCCATGCCTGCAAGCAGCCTGTCTACCTCTGCCTGCCAATAAAGGGTTTCAGCAAGCACAGCAGATATCGTTTTACATTCCTGAAATCAAGGAGCTGCCATAATGAACAGCTGGCCACTACCACAAGCTCCTATCTGAAGACAGAACTCTTACTGGTTCAACCCAAATGCTATCAAAGTCAGTGCTACATTGCCAACAGTAGCCTGCAGTAGACATGGGAAGGCACCCTTCGCTTGTCCATTTACCTGGATATCTGCTGGAACCAAGTTCATTACCACAGCTGAAAAAGGCAACTGAACTCGGGTGTGGTCTTTAAGTCCTGCAGCTGAATTCAAGGGCCAAACTGACAACTGGCAAATGAGACCGTTACTTAACTTGAAGAATGCTAGAGTGGTTCCTGTATATGTTGTTTGAAGCAGACAAAATATTATATGGATGTTGGCCCCCTCTGACTGACAAGACAGAAAACCACTTTTTCCTCACTTCAGCCGATTCCTCTATTACAATCCGTTTTTTATTTCACTTTCTTTTAGCAGGAGAGCCAAGACTGCAGACATAATCAAGGGAAACAGAAAGTTTTCTTCTACTGAGCCTGACTCTTGGTGTCCACCTGACTTTGCACTGTCAGCCAAGCTGTTCTCCAGGTTTATGGGCAGGATTCTTTCCCAGCCCTACTCGGAGATCTGTGCTGTTCTTTGGCACATTCTCATCCAAGCATTAAGATGATCTGGTACTACTTAGCGCCTGATTCAGATGAGCTTGTTGTGATATAGCAACAGAGTTGTGTATTGCTAACAGTAATAGTCAAACAGTTTGAACAACTTGGTTGAAAGTCAAGATACAGAGGTAATGCACCTGAGATAACTATTCGGATGAAATTACACTGGATCTCCCTGTGCTGGCCTGAATCAGATGGCTTGGCATTGCCAGCACCACATGCTCACCGCATAGAGAAGGATCCTGTTCTCTTTGTCTTCCTTGGGGTACAACATATTGTTGCTGTTAAAAAGAAAACGAGTAAGAGGATGTGAGCATTCTTAAGCGTTATAAAGAAAGGTGGTATGTCAATTAGAGAATAAGTAAAGGTTGGTAGCTGTAGTGATATTATTTCAGCAACTGAATTCATTCCCAAATCTTTGGATACCAATTTAAAACAATTGCCAATAGCTGGTAATTTGCTTCCTGAGATGCAAAACCAAACAAAATTGTAAACGTCTCACCTAACCTGCACATTTCTGACTTCTGCTTGTTAGGCTTGACCCTTGCTCGGGTCACCGCCGGCAACAGCCATGCTGAGAAACAAAGAGCTAGAGGTCTGTGTGTCCAAGGTGGACAAGAAGGAGAAAGGATGGGCTGGAAACGCGAGGGAGGCCTCGGTCAAGGCAAGCCTCCGGGCGGGCCTCGCCTCCAGGGCGCCGTTACAAGAGATCCTGAACGGCCGGCCCTTGGAGGAGCCCGCTTCATGCGCCACACTCTCCTCCCGGCAGGATTTTGTGCAACGCGGGGGAGGGCCGAGGAGGCGCCGCAGAACCGCCTTCGTCGCCGAAACGCCCGTGG